CAAGTATATGAAGAACTTAGACATTTTGGGATGTGGAAGATACATTCTATGTTGTATAATTAATATTGGTAGAATAGTATATATTAAGAAGTGGCCACATATGTTTCTTGATGTGGAATGTGTGATTGAATTAGATCAAGCTTTAACACTTTTTACTTCAATTAAAGCCATTATTTATTATAGATTTATGTTATCATTGATCTATAGACTTTGTTGGACTACTTATTATTACCTCACATAGAACTAAATATATATTAATAATGGTAGAATATTTAAGCAAGTACATTGAACTTATGGCTTTACTACAGAACTCTTCAAAATTGGCATTTATGGCTTTTCTTGATTGAGTAATTGCACATTTTGGGGCACTTATTAAAGTCTTAATGGATCAAAGAAGAGATTTTTTTGGAAGTTTTGAAGCTTTAATAGATAATTATATCACATTTATAAAATATCTTGGGTTAGATGGCCTAGCTGAGTCGATTGTTCAGACTGTCAAATGTGGATTATAAAAATATGGATTCTTTCATGGCAACCATCATAATTGGAACTTGATGTGCTGTGGATTATGATGGATTATTACTTTAGAAGAGAAGTATCTTTAGCATCTTATAGGTTTATCAATTATTGTATGGATAAGAATCAATTCTACGTAACTCAATATGTAAGAAATTAGCTCCAATTGTAAACTTAGATGATCTCTTAATGTTTGGATTCAATGCTTACATGATTAAGTAAATTTCTTTAACCATCCATACATATGGCTATGAAGAACTTATATATTACTCAATATTGTGACACTTTATGATATGCTTGCATTTATAGTGGAGCTTATTGATCTTAGTTGCAAAGATTCTTTAAAAAAAATTATATATATTTGTAATAAGAAATACCTACAATACTTGATATTAAGGTAGGATATATAATTCTATTTATAATGAATGTATTACCTAGTAGTATTTTGTTGTTAGAAGGTAAGGATAGACAAGAATGTCAAGAGCATTTAAAGAATTGTATTCCTTATCATCTTCTTATTGATGACTCTATATATTTTAAATTAATTGTTGTATCAATTGATCTTCTTTATTTTACATGTGGTAAGAAGAAAGGAGCTACTACCATGCTTTTATGTGATCAATAGTAATGTAGGTGGCATATGGCATGTTTGACACTATCTCTTTTGATTCTTCCATCAAGAAATTGGATTTGTCCTTGTTATAAGAAGTCTTCTAGCCATACTTCATTTCTTAATAAGGATTAAAGATTTTTTCTATTGTGTATGTCATATACTCCAATGGTCTTACTGCTACAACATTGGTTTGGAGGAGCACTGTTTGGCATTCACATCATAATGGCGTTTATCTTCAACAATGTATTTTTTGTAATCCCAGTTGACTAGAAGGGCTCTTAATCAACTAAAAGAGGTACTTGAGAGTCTGTTAGATGTACATTTTTATTTGGTTTAAATTACACACTTTATAATTAATTAATAGAACTTCATGTATTATATGTAACAAACTTTGTTTATATAACAGCCATCATGTGATATGGCATTAGATGCCAAATCTTATTAGATATATATAGTTTAATTGAATTAATAGTTTTTTATCTATTAATAGTTTTTCTATTAGTTTATTTATTTATATCAATTAAGATTTGAGTACTTAAATTGGGAAAAAATCCTTAACTTGACATTCTTGTCAAGTCAAGTCTTGTGAGTGATTTTGAAAATGAAAGAACTTGTTCCAAGGGTTTGCTTAGCTATGGTATTTTAGCCATTTTAGTAAAATTTAAGAATTTTTCTTATTTTTGTACTTGCACTCTTGGATTCTTCTTTTGTGGTGTGAAAGATTTAGTTTGATATAGATTTTTAATCTTTTCTTGAGAGTATGTTGGATGTATATTTGTATTTGATTTAAATTATATACTTTATAATTAGTTGGTAGCACTTGATGTATTGTGTGTAATGATCTTTGTTTATACAATAGTATCAATATTCTTCTTTTCAAAAATATCATGATAATTTTCTTATTGCTTAGAATGCCACTTAAATTCTTTCTACTATTAGAAATAGATGTAATATAAATAATAAAATTTGATCTATCTTTTGTAGCATATAAGAAAGCTCTTAAACTTATAAATAAAGATTTAATTGAATTAAATTTATCAATTTTTGCTTAATTAACAAAATTCTTAGTTGTGCTTTAAAAAAAATCAAGACTATAAGAAATCTGATCTACCAAAGATTATACTTTTTAGCCATAATAAATTTAAAATGATTGAATTATATAAAATATCACAAAGCTATTATGACCATTTATTACCACTTTTATAAGAAAGATTTCATGAGTAACATCTCTAAAAGATAACATACGACCATCTATGAATTTTATACATACATATTTATTTTTTATATTAAAATTATGCTATATTTTTTAATAAACTCATCATTTAAGAAATAAGTTAAAACTCCTACATCTAATAAGGTAAAAACTTTATTATATTTAGGTCCTAAAAAATATTATTTTTAATTTAAGAAAATAATTTTAATAAGAAAATAACACCTTTATTATGTATTATATAAGATTCTAGATACATTGTCTCTATTATAATTGTAAAATTTATTTTTTAACATATTTATTTTTGATAGTCATATTCATTATTTTGTGGTTGTATCACTTAGATTTTCTATAATATAAGTACATTTTTTTCTTAATAATAGTAAGTTTTTTCTTACTTAGTAAGAAATTTAAAATGTACAATATTAATTTATGTGCCTTCTACTTTCAAATGTATATTTTGAAAAGAAGTTGGTATTGCTATTAAATTATAAATATATTGAGGCACACTTGTATGACTCTCAAATTAAAATTTTAAAATTCAATTGTAATACTTCACAATAAAGTCAATTGCTTGAATTAATATTTGAATATTGAGTAAATTCAACATCATTTTTATTTTATTTTATATAAAATTTGTAGAAAAATTGGTTGATGAGTGCAACATCATGCCACTTGATATTAATTATAAGTTATAAAAATTGTATAATATATAACATTATTGATTGATTGTTTGGTAAAAAAAAAATACAAATCTTATTGGTTTCAACACAAATTGCATCATATTTTTCAAATATGAATTCAAATTATTCAAAGCCTCTAAATTATCTAATATTTAATCATGTTATTTAAAATAAAATGAAAATTATGATAAAATAAAGAATGAAAGTAGTGTTTTAAAAAATATGACTTATAATCTTGACGTTGGAGAGTTTTAGAATTTAAGTTCAATTATTAATTATATATGATTGATGAATCTTCAAAACTTTAATCTTATGCCATCAAACCTCTCAAGTAAAATAATTTTTTATTTTCTAATATTTGAACAATGTTCTATTAAAAAAAAGGTAATATGATTTGATGTAGATATTAAAGTAGCTCTAATTATCTCTATATCTTTATTTCTAATTTTTCTTCTTGCTTCTTATGATAATAAATTGAATTAGTGCATTTCAAGAATTAATTTTGTTATTTGATCTTATATTTGTACCACTATATTTTATTTTATTTTAGCAAGTTTTTTCATAATAACATAATCAAAAAAATATATATCTAATATCACTTATAACAAATAAAAGAAGAGATTCAAGAATGAAGAGAATTTTAATAATAATATCAGTTTAGAAGTGGATAATCTATAACTTCAAATTTAATATTTTATCAAGACAAAAGAGTAATTCACTTTTAATCATAAAAAGTAAAACTTTAATATTATAAATGTATTCTTTTCAGTATATTAAGAATAAGAACTTAAAGAAAGTAAATAAAGAAGTGAGACATTTTTCAAAGTAAGATGACAAAATATAAATAAGTAAATATGTATATTGAATGTCTATTGCCAAAGATTATAAAACAAAAAACTCTTAAAACTAGACTAGAAGCAAAATAGAAATTGATAATAGTGAGGAAGGATTTATTTTTGTATCTATATATACTATCTAACTAAGAACTATGTAGCAATATTTTATAGGACCTTTAACATGTATTTAACTCACATGTCACATGTCTAACTTGCAAAATAAGCTTCTTATATGTATACTATATGTCTAATTTGTATTACATGTGGCCAACTTGTTGGCCTAGTCCAACCTATCAATCAACTACAAATATGTCTAAAGTCAAAATAATATCTATAAAGCTTCAAAGAAGCTTTTTCATGAGATCTTTTCAAATTTATCTATTTTTAAATACTTCTACTAATTTATATTATCTAAATAATTATTTGAACAAATATGGATGTCTATGATATATTGGGTACCAAATCTAGTTGGGTATATGTGATTTAATATGATTTAGTAGTTTTTTATTTACTTAATTCTTTCCATTAATTGACTTTGTTAATGCCAATTAGGATATGAAGACTAATGTAAAAAAAACCCCCTTGTCTTAATATTCTCATCAAGTCAAATCTTATGAGTGATTTCGAAAAAGAAAAAAAATTTTGTTATGTGGATTTGCTTGGCTATGGTAATTTTGCTATTTTAGTAAAGCTTCAAGGTTTTCTCTATTCACACTTACATTCTTGGATTCTCCCTTGTGGTGTTAGATATAACTTAACTTAATTATGTGTAGATTCATCATCTCTCCTTAATAGTGTCTCAGTTGTGCATTTGTATTTGAATACTTTGTTATTGATTATGGCATTCAATGTGTTGTGTGTAACAATCTTTGTTTACATGACAACATGCATTCAATGCAATAACCAACTACTAAGTCAAATGAATCCAGCCCAACGGAGACGAACGCTCATCCAAATTCCAACCCGACTATTTCCGTTTAATATTCATCCAAAATCAAACTCGACCATATTCGTTGAGCGTTCATCCTGCTTAGACGTTGAAACTGACCAAAGGCGACTGGCACCGTTGGCAGACGTGTTCCCGCCATTTATGGAATTCAATTGAATGCTGGGCTGCTCGCTCGGACTCCGTATTTGCTTGCGATGATCTGGCATGGTCCCCAACCTAACTTCCCAATCCTGATGTGTAAAATCCTCCCGATTCCGATTGCCAAGCGACTTACTTCCTAGCTCGCCGACGAACTTTGTGCTGCGAGGCGGATTTTGAGCTTTGGTTCGGGTCGAATATGAGCTTGTGGAGGAGGGTCTGTGTGGGTTGTTCATTCAGGAGGTGGGTTTTTGCGGTAGGCGGTGGGGGTGGGTCAGGCAGATCTCGGGGGGGATTGTGTTGTGGGTGTGGGTGAGTATGGAAGAGATTTCCCTGTAGTGGTGCACGAGTAACGTTACTTGGTCATTGTGAAAGTGGGTTCGATGTTAATGGGGCATTGTGTTTGTGGGGCGGCGATCGTGAATCATGGTGCATGCGTGGAATTGGGCGGTGTGGTGTAGTTGTGTGTTGCTTTGGGCAGCCGCATTGGAGTTGTCTTTAAGAAGTCTTTGACGCCGCTGATTGTGTCGCGTTTTTGGGTTTGGGCCATGCTGGGTCATTTAGGTCCTGGATGAGTGATGGAAGTGGACCTGGTTTTTTCTTGTGTTGCAGATGTTTGAACGCGCTAATGCTGTTCGAGGGATTGTTGAGAATTGGGCGACTGTTTCCTCTATGATCGATCGGTTTTGATCCCAGCATGTGTAGGCAGAAGAGGCCCGTGAGGCTTAGGGCTATTGCCACTGAATACTCGGCGCATGAGCTGAAATGCAGATGGAGGATGCAGTCTGATTAGGGGTTTCAGAAGAGTAGGGTGGGACATACAGCGTAGAAGCTATGGGGATTCAGGGGTTGCTCCCTACCCTGAAGTCCATCATGAACCCACGGCACATTCGGGATTATGCTGGAAAGCGGGTGGCCATTGACACCTACTCCTGGCTACACAAAGCCGCATTCAGTTGCAGTAAGGAGTTATGCCTTGGGCTGCCTAATGACAAGTGAGTATTCGAATGTCTTTTTAGCCAAAATGTAAGCCTATTTTGCTGAAAGAATGTTCGAAAGAATTGGCATTCAGACAATGTCCATCTCAGTGAATTATGGGCGGGTTTCTGAATTTCATGTAGCTTGTGGAGTTCCGTGTGTGGGTCACGATATCGTTTATGCTAACCGTTGTCTGAGTTTTACAGGGTCGGTTTTTGTTTAAGTGCACAACCTATTGACGTATCAGGTCGTGTGGATGATGTCTTTTGTGAAGGTACATAGACTATTGCATGCATCGGGTCAACATGCTGCGGCACTTCGGTTTGCAGCCCGTCCTTGTGTTTGATGGGGGTGGCCTTCCAATGAAGTCTGATCAGGAAATGAAACGTGCCAGGTGTGTTGCCTATTGCACGAGTTTCGTATGTGCTTAGCCTGGAAGTATGAGCGTTCCACTGCGAATTGTAGTCACAATTTATTTCTTGATTTGAAGACTCTCTAATGTCTTTCCGCTTTATGGTGGTGGAACAGATCGAGGAAGGAGAATTTGGAACGTGCTCTGGAGCACGAGCGCCTGGGAAACTTCACCGCTGCGATGCAATGTTATCAGAGGGCCGTAGACATAACACCTGCAATAGCTTTCAGGCTGATAAAGGTTGCCTGTTCTAAGCCAATTATTACATTTCAGAGTTCTGGTTGAGTTATTGTGTTGATATGTTGCTCCAATACAGCAGGCCTAATCGGTTTCTGGAATGCTGTTCGGTTGTGGGTCTAAAACAGGTTTTGCGCCAGGAAAACGTGGAGTATGTGGTTGCACCGTATGAAGCAGATGCTCAAATGGCTTTTTTAGCTCGCAATGGACACGTGGATCTTGTCATCACTGAAGATTCTGACCTTATTGCATATGGTTGCCCGCAGGTAGAGGTCACTATCACCAAGTCTTTACTTAAGGCCAGTTGGGTAGTACTCTCTAGTTTTGACTGCACGATGGATAGATGTTCATCCTCTACGGGGTGTGGTTTTTGTAACGGGATAGTGTTTGAACAGAGAGAACCTAAACTTGTCTATATCGCAATATAGAATTCATAATTTAGATGGTGGCTTGTATATGAAACATGATATCTGTTTAAAAAGATATTCGTCGAACTTCTGTATTGTGTATGGCAGATATTTTTCAAGATGGACAAGTATGGACAAGGTGTGGGGTTTCAGTTCTCTGACATTACGGCCAACAAAGACATTGACTTCAACAATTTCTCCAGACAAATGATTCTTGAAATGTGCATAATGAGTGGTTGCGATTACTTGCCTTCCTTGCCAGGAATGGGCGTAAAAAAAGCTCATGGCTTAATGAAACGTTTTAAGACTTATATAAAGGTAATTCTCCTTACGTTCCTACGCTGCATTTTCTTGCGTATGATTGCCAGACTGCATGTTCAGTTATCTTATATTCCTACTTTTTCTCTGGGTGCGTGGCATTTTATCATTAAATAGTCGCGAAAGTAAGCTGTATTAAAGGGATTCAGAGGGCTTCACAGCTGGAGTGTTGTTGTTGGTTGCTATATACCCTTTCCTCTTCACACTTGGCAATTGTTTCAATGCTGTGGTCATGGATGCAGGTAATGAAGCACTTGAAGTTCAGTGGCGTCCTGATAGATGAACAATACGAGCAAGGTTTTCGGAGAGCAATATTAACATTTCAGCATCATCGTGTTTATGACCCTGCCAAAAGGGCAATGGTTCATCTCACCGATGTACCAGGCGAACTCGTTAACGATCTACATTTTCTGGGACCATATCCTACCTTCTAATCTAGATGATGGTGGAAGTTTCTGCGAACCAGGATGTCGGTAGATGCCCACTATTTGTGACTGTCTTAATCTATGTGATTTATGCAAAGTTGTGATGGCAACGTCAGGAGATCCCATATGTTGCGACCCTATATAAGTAGACATTTTCTCATTTTAGTTATTGCGTTTTGCGCTTAACTCTTCCTTACATGTGTCTCCCCGACAGTTGCTATAGCTGTTGCCAGAGGTGAGGTGGACCCAACCACCTATGATCTCTTTGAGGTACGAGCTATCTTCCGTGTTCTTCTCGACTCCTGGGTATTTTAGGGTAAGAAGCGCCTGTACTTTATGCTAATTCTTAATATTTTTGTAACAGGAAGTGAGCAGCTCTGGGACGCCAATAGCGGTTACGAAAGAGAAAGTGCATGTTGGTTCTCTAAACGTGCCTGTAGACGTTTCTCCTCAGAAGAATATGCTCATAACCAACTTCTTCCGTATCCACAGTAATTTCTAAAGAAATCGACTTTGGGCTGCTTTTATAGCTTCCTTTTTCTTCGTCTTATCTTGTGTTGTTTCATCGATGAATCTTAAGTTGGAACTCTGTGCTGGAAGTAAGCTTAGATGAGTTTGGTTTGTTTACTGCTTCGGAATGTACATTACTCTTGATTGTTCTGAGCATGGAAAAATGTACACCACTTAACTTTCAACAGAAGGGGCAGATGTAGCTTCCAAGAAGCAATTTATACCCCCAAGAAGTGCTTCCAACAATACTCCTGACAATGCGTCATTCCGATTCTGTGCAACGCAAGAAGAGATGGCATCTCAAGTCACGTCTTCGCCGACCAGTCTAAGTCAACAATCATACTCGAGCCCATTTAGCAAATTTTCTTTTACTTCCCAGCAGTCACCAGTATTTAGTACACCTCCAAGCCAAGTTTCTCCTTTCGTGAGTGAGGAACTTGACTTAGATGCAGATCTGCAAAGACTCAATGTAAGTGTTACACTTTGGCGAGCCAGAATAAGTAATGATTTTATTTCGAGAGTTATATCATAGCTAGAGTTATGTGTAGGCTCTTAGTAGAAGCTTAACGAGTTTATGGAGCGTCATGTGTGGACAGGTTGGTTTTGACTTATCTTCTTCTTCTTCTTTTCCTCCAATCTCTTCTTATATTTCTTTTTTGTCTTCCTCTTTTGTTTGATTTTTTAGGTCAAATGCACTCGTGATAACTTTTTCTTGACTTGACTACTTGGTGTACATAGGATCTTTCATCTGACTACTCTCCACCAGATTACCTGTTAAGAACGAGGAGTTTTTCAGGTTATACATTGTCCATCCTTCAGTTCATGGCCTGGAATTCAGATTACTGTATACTCAGCTATCACATCTAGAACGGTTACATCTTTTCAGGTATATGAAACTGTGTTTTACATTAGAGATTTTGGTGGTTTGGACTTCTGGAATGTTCACTAAGTTCAGCTTGATGTTGGGTCTTCTTTATGCAGAGGTGAAGCCTAAACTGCAAATCCCCTCCCCCTTTACCGTAGATTCCTTGATACGTTCAAGGTCCGTAGAAGTGAAATCAAGGAAAACATTTGTTTCGCCACTATTACATGATACTGCTTCTCAAAATGCTAGCAAGACTAAGGTGCCAGTGGAAGCCACCTCCACTGCCGTTACTGTGAAAAGGAGTGCGTACTTCTCTCGACCTGTTTCATTACAATCACCTCCAACTAGCCCTGGTACAATTCAAATCCAGAGGAATGTGGAGTTGCTGGCCAAGTTTGAAGATTCGCAGAGGAGCACAAGCACATGTACTTCTGAAGGGGGTGAAATTGCAGATCACAGAGAGTTTGTCAATGACGTGGTCGATTGTCCAGACCTGGATCAGGTATTTAGCTGTAATCTAACATGTCATAGTGTTTCACCAAAGACGTGTTAGTTGTGATCGTTCATCTGGTAGTTTAAAATGCTCAATTGTTCACTTTCAATGCAGATAGATATCTTGCCCTCAGAATTGAGACGAATTTCTTGTAATTGTTTTCATGTTGGACACATCTATGTGAATTGTGACTACTTCTTTGTCTTTTAGAAACAGGAGATTTTAAAGGACATCACAAACATAGAACGATCAGATGCAGTTGCAGCTGGAAAGAGTAAGTTGGCTATCGTTTTCTTCTTCTCACGGTTATCGTCCTGAACAGCCTGGTCGGGAATTTCAGTTTTACTGAATTGTTTCAGCTTGGCTGAATCACAGCACTAATAATATGGGACGGGAATGTATTGATTATCTGTTGCTGCTGTTAACAGATCAGTAACTTTCGTTTCATGATTCTTGTGCTTTGTGCTCCGTAGGAAAGCATCTTCCACATTTTCAAAGCGATTTGCTTGGAGAGAGGCCAATGAAGAGCAGATCCATTTCCTCTGTGTCACATGTGGGTCAGTATGCCAGCCTTGCTCAACGATCCATGGATGACTTTGTGTCAACCATAGCCCCATTTCGGCTCTCGCAGACTGGTTCTCGTGCCAGTGGTTTACGAGCCCCCTTGAAGCAAGGAAGTCGAGCCAGTGGTCTAAGGGCACCCCCAAAGTCTGCTCGAAAGGCTTCTACGTCGAGGTATTGGAACAATTTTGACCTATTCTTGAGACATCTTGTGATGATTCTCCTATAACCAAAACACATTTCCATGAATTTACAGCTATGCATGTTATTTGTAGCTATATGGAACTATGCAGACTTCTAACTATTTTAGTTATAGATTTATTAAGTGTGAAAGTGTTCACTGCAAAGTCCTACACTGTAGATTCTAGAAGTTCTGCCTTCTCTTTTCCCATCCTCATTCAGCTGCTAATTGCCTGAATCTAACTACAGGGCTCCCACTACTCCAGGATCGACTAAGAAAATCAGCGATTGCATTAGATCTTCACCAGTGAACATGCGAACCCTGAACTTTTCTAAGACTGATTCCGTTGCTGCTGGGACTGTGAGGTGGCAAGTATATAGCGAAGAAGAATGGGAGAAAGCGTAATGTTATTTAATGTAATTCAGCGTATTCATCAATTTATTCATATTCTATCTTATAGAGACATACAAATTTCTGTGCGGTTGGCTTGTGGTCAATGCTTAGTCTTCATTGTCCGATTAGGACCCACATGTCTCCACGTTTTTAGCGTATACTATGTAGCTTTAGTTCCTTGGTGGAGAGATGGAAGGACACGCTCGAACAAAAACGCTGTTTTTTACAAGGAAGTTCTGATTTATTTCGAGCAGTCCTGAAATGAGCAAACTTTTCGCTTTCCAGTGGAGATTGAACCTGTTGTGTCAATCGATATTATATCCGATCAGAACAAGGCATCTTGAGAATCTCATTCATCATCGGTTGTTAGCTTCTATCCAGTCTGATAAAACCCCCAGAGACGTTTATCTCCCAGCTCAGAGATGGTGGAATGAAGTTGCAGAGCCATGGGTGAGGTGACTGACAATGTTGCAGTAACACTTTTTCAGCACACTTCAAGATACGATGCAGCAAGTTCATCGTGAGGAGCATGCTCTGACTGGTCGTTCAAGTTGACATCATTACAGCACTTTATCTCAGACTTCCACAGTGACATCGTAACTAGCAATTCTCGCCGTCCTGTTGCTGACCAACAGCAAGACTTGATGAGCAATGAGAATACTGTAGATGTTACTAGGGCACGTGTCGCAAGTTCATTAGCAACCAGGTCGAAACTCGGTCTTCAACATATCAAACTGTGCGAAGAAAACCATTTCATGGATGGACCTGAACTCTGATAAGGGCTGAAAGCGCTGTCGGGGTCAGAAGACAGCACGTTGTTAATTGACGCAACGTCATAAGCAGAATCTTCTCTAGGTGTTAGTAGTCTGCGATGAAGCTCAAGGACATGGGATTTCCCTCTCGGAGCGGAAGAGGTGTAATAGCCGAGCTGAACCATCAGCTTTAGGAAGTAGACGAAGTCGATAACGCCTCAGCGGATGCCACCGAATGTTTGTTGCAATTAGATGGATCAGCAGGGCAATCAAGAGCTGCTCATGGATTCTGGGTTCTGGATCAAAACAGTAGCTTCCACTCTCGAGCACAATCTGATGACTCCGAACCCAAGTCAGGAAACATAGACTGTCTGCAGCACTACCAGACTTGTGCAAATGTTGGATTCGGTGCAATGAAGCTCAACGTCGAGGGTGCAACGCAGGGCTTCTGCCAATGCAGCATGCTGCCCTGTGATGTGCCTCATATTCCTGCAAAGCAGCTTTCCAGATACACACAGGTTTTGCTCCCTCGGGGAGTAGAGCGTATGAAGTTTTCATTCCGCCACTTGGACCCTGAATGTATGTAAGACGTGGCCAATGCTACATGGTGGCTGTTTTACCCTCCTTTAACCTTCCTATATTCATTGTCCATGGTGGCATTCATTCAAACCACTCGATTTCATACTTCAGTTTTTCAGTTTTTTGCATTTTCACTGATTTATGTGTGTGTGTATATATATATATATATATATACACATCAGTGGTTAAACTCATTGTCTTTGCCAACGTCGAGTACATTTTAGTTTAAATAAATTTTGTCTACTGGATACACAAAAAGTATACAAACAGTAAAGTTTCATAACATTTCATAAATTGCAAGTTTATCAATAGCTGCATGGATTTTCAGAAGATCGCATAACATATTCATGTTTGAGTGCTAATGCAAAGCAAAAAAAGATAAACAACAAATACAAAGTTGAATAATAGCCAATATGAAGTTGCAATGAAGCCAATATGAACTTGCAATGAAGAGCCTTGTGCAAAAATAATAATTGCAATGAAGGCAAATGAAGTTGCAATGAAGAGCCTATTGCAAAAGTTTTTTGATATCAAGAGGTCAATTGATAATCTGATATTAAAAAAATAATATATGTCAAAACACAATATACCTCAATAGCCAATCAGTGCCCCTTTTTTCAATAAGAAAAAAAAATTAATTTGAACTGTACAACATCAAAGAGTAATCTGCAATTGTTTATGTAATTGAAATGACATCATCTTAGTAAGAAGAATAATTTCAAATTAGTTTTTGATGCTATACAATTTGGGTAACATTTGTTATTATGTAAGGTTAAATCTATTGGCTTTGCCTTTGCAATTAAATACAAAATACAAAACAACAAAAATATAAAACAACAAAAAAATAAAAAACACAACTTTTGTTGTTTTGTCACACTGTTCTTTGTTGATTGCTTTAATTTAAATAGCCACCACCACATGAAGGTAGCAATCATAGTAGCCATTTTAGGCTTAATGTCAAGGATTTTCAACCTTTCAAACTATTGTAAGCCCTCACATCTTAATCAACATCATTTCAATGATTCATCATATATTACATTCATTGTTTGTTGCTCAAGCAGACAACTAACAAATATCGAAATTGAATTGCTTGCATATGATTACCTCACATAAAGCTATTTATGAGTGAACATATGGTGTGATAGATGGAGATCAATAATACTCATAATATGTCCTTGTGCTTCATTTATAGTCATTGCAAAGAAAAGTTGATGATAGAACTACCTATGCATAAGCATAAATGGCTAATGTATGGTACTTGTTGTGGTTGTGATTTTAGGTATGGCCACCAAATTTCCAACATGAGCACCTATACTAACTTGTGCAATAATAAGTTGATGAGTAAGCCATTGGATAATCATGCACATCTTATTGCAAAGACCACTTGTTGGATCTAAATTACACAATAATATTACAGGAACTCCAATTTTTAATATAAAACAATGAAACAAAATACTTGCAACCATAATAGTATTCAAAAATTCAACTCCATATATATATTTTTAGTCATCTTAAAGAATAATAGTATTATTTGATAAAAATATGGATTCACGAACTGAAATGCAATGTGATATTATGTGAAGTTTGCTTGAAAATGCATTAAACACTTGGTTGTAGAACAAAAAATGGAACTTGCAATAAGATGATCGTAACAACTTTAATAGAATCCTAAAAAAACTCCAATTAAATTATAGCAATGTTAATCAATCTTTAATTAAATCCAAAAGAAATCTTAAAGAAATATCAAAAATAAATATTTTAATTGAATCCTTATCAAATCTTAATATAACTCTCAATAACTCATAATAAAATCCTAAATCCTATTCAAATCCTAATCAAATTTTAAATCAAATCCTAATAAAATCTTAATCAAAATCCTAAACCAATCTTAATAAAATTATAATGAAATCCTATTCAAATCCTAATAAAATTCTAAATCCTAACTAAACCTTGAACCTTAAATCAATTATAATTAAATCCTAACAAAATCCTAAATCTTAATCAGATCCTAAATAAATCCTAATCAAATCATAAATCCTAATCCTTAACCAAATTCTAAACCAAATTCTAAGAAAATTCTAATCAAATCTTAAATCCTAAATCAATTCTTATCAATCTTTAATCAAATTCTAAATCTTAAATAAATTCTTAAGAAATCCTACAAGAAATTAAAAATTCAATAATTAATACTCAAATTGTTGATTTCAGCTCAAAATTTGCAAACTTTGCAATAAATTTTTAATATTGATCTAAATAATAAGTAACCAACTTTTAAAAATATCTTCTCTAATCTACTATCAAATCCCATTCTTCAATTGACAAAAGAATCTCAAAAATAATAGAAGTCCTTGGTTTTATGCCTTGAGGTTTGATTTGGACTCTAGATGGCAATTGGTCCTCTCTAAGTATTAATTTTTATTTTTTTGAGGTAATTTTTACTAAAATAAATTTCTAACTCTTTTTTATATATGCCTATATCTTTTATTTTTTTAATCTATCTTGTTTTATCTTATTTATAGCTATACAAAATAAAAAAAGTCTATTTTCATGAAAGATAGTTTTAATACTACAAGACTTTACTACCTCCCTATCTTTTATCTATATTATTCTATTATATCTTTTTAATTAGGCTCTTCTATAATAAAATAATTTCTTTCTTCTTTCACCTAATTATTGTGTTACTACATGATTATAATTTTTAATGATAGCATTGATCTTAATCAAGATATTTTTTGGCATCAGAGATGCTTTTCTATCTATGTACTCTTATGTTATGTAATATATAACCAAAGAAGAAAATACATTATTAATAAGAATTTTCAATGTGACAAAGTACTTAATTTTTGTAAATAATGTAATTACTAAATTAATTGTTAGTACCAAATTTCCATCTATGATGCCAATTGCTCTATAGACATCAACTATACAAGCATCTTCCACAAAGAGAAATCATTCAATAAATGGTCAAATCACCTCAAAGCCACATGTTCTCTATAAGGACAAGTTTGGACACTACTGCCCTTAGGTACAATCAGCAAAGTGATGTAGTGACAATAGCTGGTCATGAGCCACGTAAGATGATAGGAATACACTATCAAAAGTTGCTACCAAAGACTACTACTTTGCTACTAAAAGCAATATTTGAAGTCTCCATCAGATCATACAATGAACAATTTCCAACTTATGATATATGCCATTATTGAGTTAATGCTTCATTCCAAATAATTATTATTTTTTTTTTGAATAATCTCAACAACATCACTATAGGATGTAATATTAATTTTTTTTATGGTAAATAGTATATATATATATTTTTTAAAAAAATGCATTATTTATCTTTCAAAAGCAATAAAGTAGCAATACTTAACAAAGCCATAATGATTGTTACATTACAATATATGCATATGGATATCAAGAATATGTTATATACAAATTTTTTATCTGAGCTCCCAAGACCATCAAGAAAAAATATGGATTCTTTTCTTAATTACTTAATATTGAAGATATTAGTGATTCTATGGACTTAATTTGGATTCAATTATTGAAAGTTATAGTCTACTTGCATTTGCAACACTAAGCAATTGTATTAAAGTTTTGCTTAAAATTATGGATTTATTCATTGTGTATCATGAACATACATATTTTTTCCAATAGTTACCTATAAGATTAGATAGAAGTAGGTAAAAATAGATTAATTTCATAATATCTTCTAAAGAAGCTTTTTAGAAGTTTCATAAATATGATTTGGACTTTACATGTGTTTATAGTTGATTGGTAGATTAGAAACTTGGTCAACAAATTAACCACGTACCATATATATTAATAGTATATGAAAGAAGCTAACTATGTGGCATACATATAGAAAAATTACCTTGCAAGTTAAGACATGTGTTTAATAAAGTCAACATTTACTAAAATTCTTATAGAATATTGCCATAAAGCTCCTATTTTGATAGTATATATAG